ATTTTTTTTTTTTTTTTTTTTTTTTTTTTTTTTTTTTTTGTTAGATTCCTCCAACATATCCATTAACACCAATTGAATTGCGACTGCCAGAGCTTGATGGCAAGACAAGCAAGATGTACAGGTACAACTCCTGCTGCTGCTGCTGCTGCTGCTGCTGCTGCTGCTGCTGCTGCTTCTGCTGCAGGAGCTTTTGCTGCTGTTAGTCTGCTGCCTGTTGTGGCTGCTGCTCCTGCTGCAGCAGTTGTTGCTGTTGTGGCTGCTGCCTCCTCTTGTGACTTCGAAACAGCCGCCATTGTTCCTGCTGCAGTATTTGGGGCTTTTTTTTGCTGCTGCTGCTGCTGCCGCATGCATGCAGAGGAGGGCGTATTTGCCTTGATGCACACTTTGCTCCTCTATGGAGTAAAAATGCCCCAAAGTTCGGCATAGCGCATGCATTGGCCCTTGGAGTAAGTCTATTACTTTTCTGCTGCTGCTGCTGCTGCTGTTGCTGCTGCCGTTGCTGCAGCAGCAGCAGCAGCAACGTTGCCTGAGGGGTTGCTGAAACAGCGCTGCTACAGGAACAGGAGCAGTAGCAGCAGCAGTAGCAGCAGCAGTAGCAGCAGCAGTAGCAGGAATAATAGCGACAAGAGTACCAGCAGCAGCAGCAGCAGTGGCAGCAAGTGCATGCGTGTGTTGTGCTGCAGTTGGGGCCCTGGCTTGCTGCTGAGGTTCCTTATCTTGTAGATACAGGAGTAATAACAGCATCGTAAGGTAACTGTCTCCTTTATTAATAATAAGAAAGAAAGGAGACAGTTAGGGTAACTGTCTCCTTTATTAACAAGAAAGAAAGGAGACAGATAGGGTACCTGTCTCCTTTATTAATAAGAAAGAAAGGAGACAGTTAGGGTACCTGTCTCCTTTATTAACAAGAAAGAAAGGAGACAGATAGGGTACCTGTCTCCTTTATTAACAAGAAAGAGAGGAGACAGTTACCCCTATAGTATATTTAGGTACCTGTCTCCTTTTAGTGTCTCTTTTTATCTTATTAGATGTCTCCGTTTGTATACAATAAAAAGGAGACACCTTAATACACAATGCCCTTATGCATGCAGCAGCAGCAGAGGAGACTGCTGCTGCTGCTGCTGCTGCTGCTGCAGGTTATTATGCATCTATCTGTCTCCTTTATTAAGGACTTTATCTGCCTCCTCTATAAGAGAGACAGTTGCCGTCTCCTTAATATAAAAAGGAGACACTGTCTCCTGTCTCCTATAGGCACAGGAGGGTCTGTGTCTCCTCCTGTGTCTCTCTTTCTTGTTTTTTTGCTCTTTTGCTGCAGCAAAGGAGACTGTCTCCTTTCTTCTCTTCTATAAGAGAAAAGCAGACTGTCCCCTTTGCTGCTGCGCAGCAGCAAACGTCCCTTTTGCTGCAGCAGCACTTGCTGCAGCAGCACGCAGCAAGTGCTGCAGCAGCAGCACTCCTTGCTTCTTGCCCTTAGGAGAGGGTTAGTAAATCTCCTATATAAAGAATAATTAATATTATTCAATGTAAATATTTATTTATTTATTTATTTATTTATTTATTTATTTATTATATATAATATATAAATATAAGCAGTATACCCAGATAAAAGGGGACAGTCTCCTATAAAGGAGACACTTTTCTATGAGGTTGCCATAGGCCAATAGAATATAATAAACAGGAGACAGTCTCCTAATATATATATATATATATATATATATATATATATATTATACTATATAATATATAATATAGTATATAGTCCCTTGTCTATTTCTCCTGTCTCCTTGCTATGTGTATTAAGGAATAAGAAGTAAATGTTGCATGCATGCATAAGTGTCTCCTTTTTATATGCATGCATAGTTTATTTATTATAAAAAAATAAAATAAAAGGAGACAATAAGGAGACTATCTGCTGTCTCCCTGTCTCCTTGCTGCTGCTTGCGCCAGTGTAAGGGGCCCTCCCCTTAATAGGTTACCTGTCTCCTTTTATTGTGTCTCCTTCTTCCTATTAGATAAGGTGTCTCCTTGTCCCCTTTTTTTATATATACATAAGAGCTGCAGCAGCAAGTGTATCCTTTTTATATAAGGCTGTGTGTGCAGCAAGTGACCGTCCTGCTGCTGCTGCTAGCAGCAGCAGCAGCAGCACTGCTTATGTGTCTCTAAATGTGTCTCCTAAGGGGACTGTCTCCTTATTATGTTTTTTTTTATTTATTTTATTACTTACAGGTTATTTATTTCTTTCCCTATAGGAGAAGAAGGACATAAAGGAGACACCTGCATGCAAAGGAGACAAAAAAGGAGACACCTATTGTCTTATATATATATAAGATGATAAGTCCCCCTCTTAATACAATTGGGGCTTTTTTGCATGCGCTGCCCTCAGCAACATCAGAGGTATTGCTGCTGTCTGCTGCGCTGCTGCAGAGGGACTGTCTCTCTATATTATTATTAAAGGAGACACCTAACAATAATAATAATAATAATAATAATAATAATAATAATAATAATAATAATAATAATAATAATAATAAGGAGACCCCTAATAATAATAATAATAATAATAATAATAATAATAATAATAATAAAAAGGAGACACTTATAAATAAAAAGGAGACACCTCCTTGGGAGATAGATAACTGTCTATGGGCTATACGCATGAGTGTAGGTCTACCTGATGTCCCCCCTGTCTCCTTTATTAATATATTAAGTGTCTCCTCCCCTATAAGGGACAGCCTCCCCTGTCTCCTGCTGCTGCAGGCAGAAGCAGCACTTGTCTCCTTAATAAAAAAAGGAGACAAGGAGACAGGAGACAAGGAGAAAGAAGACAAGGAGAAAGGAGACACTTTTCTTATTAAGGAGACAATATATAATAAAGGGACAATAAAGGAGGCACTAGAGACAGTTGCTAGACTTGCTCGTGCTGCTCCCCCCTCCAGGTGTCTCCTCACCTCCTCCTCTAGGCGTCTCCTTTATGTGCTGCAGCAGCTGCTGCAGCACATTAATCCCTACACCCTGCAGCAGCAACTATTTACGGAGACAACTGTCTCCTGTCTCCTTGATCATAAGGAGACAGTTCTGTCTCCTGCAGGGGAGTTCTTACTTGACGCCATGCATCTTTGTCTGCAGCAGCACACAGCAGCAGCAGCAGCAGCAGCAAGACGACAGCAGCAGCCGCCTATAAGGAGACAAGAGGGAGAAGAGGCAGAAGGGGCAGGAGGAGACATAAAAGGAGACACCTATAGTCCCCTTAATAAAGGAGACACTACAGGAGAAGACCTAACGAATTACTTGCTGCGTCTTTGTGCTGAGTATGAGGCCTTAGAGGCACTGCGGTGTACGTACACCCCATCAAGAAGCAGCAGCAGCAGCAGCAACAGCAGCAGCAGCAGGGGGTAATTAACTCCTTAACAGCGCTATGTGTGTCTCTCTGTGTTTCCCCTTTATTGTCTCCTTTCTTATCTGTTTGTTTATTTTTATTTTTGCATGCATGCAGCAGCAGGTGTCTCCTTAGGTGTCTCCTTTGTTGTATACTGTCCCTTTTCTTGTGTGTCTGTCTCCTTTTGCGTGTATATGCAGCCTTATCTGTCTCCAATGCAGCAGCAGCACTGTTCTCCCTTGAGCAGCTGCTGCAGCAGCCGTTGCTGCAGCACATAGAGGCACTGCATGCACCAGAGGAGACAGTTATAAGGGAAGTATTTTATAACTGTCTCCTTCGTTGTTTTTCTTCCCTTACTGCCCCTATATCATTAAGTGTCCCCAACTGTCTCCGTTTACAGCTAGCTAATGCATGCAAGCAGCTGCTGCAGCAAGCGGGGCTGCATGCACTGTGTCTCCTTAGTGCAGCAGCAAGCCAAGAAGATACCACAAATGAGACACTTATGTCAATTAAAGGGGACGGCAGAGACAGGACACAGGAGGAGACACCCAAGGGAGCAGCAGCAGCAGCAGGAGCTAAGGAGACGGTAAATGAATCTCCCCTTTATAAGGAAACAAAGGAGGCAGACAGCAAAGAGTTGCTACATAAGAGGACAAACAGCAGCAAGGAGACAGTTAGCAGCAGCAGTAGCAGCAAGCTGCTGCTGCTGCCCCCTAAGAGTTATGATGCATCAGCAAGGGCCCTTTGTTACTTCTTAGATCCCCTTATTAGGCCTTATAATCCGTGGCTAAATAAGCAGCAGCAAATAAAAGGAGACAGTACAGCAGCAGCAGCAGCAGCAGGAGACAGTATACCACCACAGGAGACAATGGAGCAGCCACAACTGTCTCCAGTCTGCAGCAGCAACAGCAGCAACAGCAGCAACAGCAGCAGCAGCAGCATTGCCTTAGAACTGAAGGCCCTTGATGAGGAGTTACGCCCGTCACTAAAAGGAGACAGGCAGAGGCGTAGCCTTGTGCGTCTCCTTGGTAAGAGAATAAGGAGACAGTCATGGTATAAGGAATTAAGAGGGGAGACAGGAGAAGGAGACAAGGAAAAAGGAGACACTCTTATAAGAACAGGAGACAATAAAAAAGGCCCGCCTCCTCCTCCTCCTCTCCTATTGCCTTATGGCTCCTCCTTTACAGGGTTAGGAGACTGGGCAGCAGATATAGATCTGCTGCTGCTGCTGCCTTCTTCTTGCCGCACTGCAGCAGCAGCAACAGCAGCAGCAGCAGCACCAACAGCAGCAGCAGCAGCAGCAGAGACAAAGGGGACACCTAAGGAATTGTTGTATAACCAACAAGTGTCTCCTTTTCCTTACTGTCTCCTCTGTCGTGTCTATAAGGAGACAAACTGTCTCCATGGCTTCCTTCCTCGTACAGATGCAGCAACAATACTAACAAGACTTAATTGTCTCCTTAATAAAGAAAAAGAATTAGATGGTCTCTTTTGCTGCATGCAGCTCATTGTCCCTCCTGTTGCTCCCCCTCTGCTACGTGGGGTGTACAGACACCCGAGAGACACAGCAGCAGCAGCAGCAGCAGCAGCAGCAGCAAGTACCAGCAGCAAAGCCTCTAATAAAGAAGTGTCTCCTAATGGTCAGGTGTCTCCTTTGCATTGTTTCCTCTCCCCTAAGTGTCTCCTTTCTTGTAAGGAGACAGTTGATGACGAGCAAGGAGACAAAGAAGAGCAGCAGGAGGAGACAGGAGACAGACAAGAAAGGGGACACTTTGTTGCAGCAGCAGACGCAGTTGCTGCAGCAGCAGACGCAGCTGCTGCAGCAGAAGACACAGAAAAAGGGGACACAAGAGACACTCCCTCTATTCCTATAATAGCAAGAACATGGCAAGTTTCTCCTTATGACGGATCTATAGTGTCTCCTTTACTGTCTCCTTCCTCTGTCTCCTCTATAGGAGACAGAGGAGACAGAGGAGACACAAGGAGACACTCAGAAGGAATAGAGTCTCCTCTTAATAATAATATTATATATAAAAGGAGACACTTTACTCCTGTCCCCTTTGATATAACAACAGGGTGTCTCCTTGGTCCCCTTAATTCCTTACTCCTTAAGGAATACGCAAATAACTGTCTCCTTTTTCCTCCCTTAGTACGTATTATTAAACATTGGGCAGACTGCAGGGGACTTACAGGTAAGCAGGTAGCTAGCTAGCTAGCTAGCCAGCTAGATAGATAGATAGATACAGTTAGGAGATAGGATACATGAAAAGGGAGACAGGACACAGGAGTTCTGTTGTTGTTGTTGCTGCTGCTGCTGCATGCGTCTGCTACTGTGCTCAGGTACAAGAGACGGCTGTCTCTCGAGTTATGCATGGGTTCTCTTGGTCGTCTTCTTCTTGCAGTCTGTTTCCCCTCCGCTGTTGCCTAAGCTGCAGCAGCAGCAGCAGCCGCTGCAGCAGCAGGAGCAGGAGCAGGAGGAGCCGAAGAAGGAGCAAGAGCAACAGCAGCAGCAGCAGCAGCAGCAGCAGGAGCAGCAGCAGGAGCAGCAGCCGCAGGGCCCATCTGCTTCTCTACTAGAGACCGCATCTCCTCATTCCCCTTTTCCGGGGGAAAGGAGACACCTTAGGAGACACGTAGAAGGAGACAGTCTCCTTTTGTCTCCTTCTGTCTCCTTCCCTATAGAGATAGTAGGAGGGAGACATAGTATTTGGTTCCTCAAGAAAGGAGACACTTATCTGTGGGGCCCCCGTGTCTTGTCTTTGCTGCAGTCTGTACTAAGAGGGGCAACACAGCAGCAGCTGCTGCTGTGGCTGCAGCATTATGTACCAGGGTATCTCTTCCTCCCCTCTAAGGAGACACAAGAGACACAAAAAGGAGACACTAAACAGATAAGGCCTATACAACAGCAACAAGGAGACAATGTTGGATCTATGCATGCACTAAGTATGCTGCAGCAGGTTGCTGGTGCTGTCTCCTTGGATACACCTGAGGGGGACAGCCAAGGGAGACCACTGGTCAGTCCACTGACTCATGGCAAAGAATGTCTCCTCTCGGGATCGAGGGATCGAAGCCCCATGGGATCGGGATCGACTCCGGGATCGGGATCGGGATCGGCGCTGGGATCGGGATCGGGATCGGGGGATCGATCCCAGCAGCGAAGTCGCAGGTCAGCAGGTAGTTGGGTGTCTCCTTTGACGGAAAAAGATTGGGAGACAATCGCATCTCTTTTGCATGCATTTTTTGTTTTCTTTGGTTATTATTTTAATTCTTTTTCTCTTCTTGTCTCTATAAAAGGAGACAATAATGTACCTAAATATCTACTTAGTGGCGAGAGACACAAGAAGGGGGGAAGGAAAAAAGAGGAGACACAAAAGGAGACACCAACGGAGACACCTGCTGTCTCCGCGGTCTCCCCAGGTCACGTCCTGCCTCCCCGCAGAGGAGACAGGCAGCAACATTGCAGTAGCTCAGCGGCAGGTACAGCAGATGCAGCAGCAGCAACAGATGCAGCAGCAGCAGCAGCAGCAGCAGGTACAGCAAAGGAGACAGCTCAAAGGTTGAGGAAGGAAGCTATTGAACTTGAGGAGACACCTACCTCATCATACACCCCCAAGGAAAAGAAGACAATAGATGAATTATTGATTGCCCTAGAGGAGCAGCAAGAAAGTAAGTTGCTGCTGCTTTTCTGCGGTGTATACGTCCACCACCTGTAGCAGCAGCAGCAACTGCTGCTGCTGCTGCTGCTTAATGCATTTTATTAGGCCTCGTTATGTTGCTGCTGCTGCTGCAGTCTCCTTTACTAAGCAAAGTGTCTCCTTTGGTATAACAATAGAAGATCCAATAGAGGTGGGGAGACACCACACCTATAGGAGGCCTCAAGGTAAGCGAGGGTACAGCCACAAGGAGCTGCTGCTGCTGCAGTAGTAGCAGTAGCAGCAGCAGCAGCATGCATGCATGCATGCAAGGAAATGCATGCATGCACGCATGCACGTATTTATGCATGCATGCGTTTGCAGGCAGCGAGTTGTTTTACTATGAAATGCAGAGGGCTGAGAGGCTGCTAAGGGAGGGGTAAGAAAGAGAGACTGCAGCAGCAGCAGCAGCAGCAGCAGCAGGAGCAAGAATAAAATAATAATAAATAAAAGAATAAATAAATAAATAAATAGATAAAAATTGTCTCCTCTTTTATATAAAAAAGGAGACAAAGGATGCATGCGTTTTATGCGATGCAGAAAATCGTCTCTTAGGCACATCTTCATCGGAGATTGAGTATGCTTGGTGCTGCTGCTGCTGCTGCTGCTGCAGCAGCAGCAGCAGCAGCAGCTGCAGCTGCTGTAGGTGCTGCAGGCGTAGGTGCTGCTGCAGCTTGTGATGCTGCTGCAGCAGTAGGTGGTGCTGCAGCTTGTGCCGCTGTAGCGTCTGCTATTGCTGGTTCTGCTGCTGCAGGTTCTGCTGCTGCAGCGTGTGGCGATGGAGCAGCACCAGCAGCAGCAGCAGCAGCAGCAGCAGCAGTAAGCAGGTTAAGAGTGTTAATAAGGGGAGGGTTGGTGGCTTCTTGCGTCTGTCTGTCTCCTTTTCCCTCCTATCTGTCTCCTTTTCCCTCCTATCTGTCTAAAAGGAGACACCTAAGGAGACACCTAAGGAGACACCTAGATAGATAAAAGGAGACACCTAGTCAACAAAAAGGAGACACCTTTTCTTTTTATTAATTAGGGAGAATGCATGCGCCCTTCTTATCTATAGCAAAGCCCCAAAACTCGCAACTGCCACGACGACCAGCAAATATATCTTTTGCCTGTGCATGCACAAAATAAATATAAATAAATTAATTAAATAAATAAATTAAATAAATTAAATAAATAAATTAAATAAATTAAATAAATTAAATAAATGAATAAAACAAACACAGCAAAGAACTACCCTCCTCTATTACCTAATCACAACCAGCTAGCTAGCTAGCTAGCTAAGACAGGGAGCCAACTAGTTAGTTCGTTAATTAGCTAGCTAGCTGGCTAGCTAGCTAGCAGGCTAGCTAGCTAGCTAGCTAGCCAAGGTAAGGAGTACTTACGCCAAAGTGTGCAGTAAAGAAAGGAGACACTTCGTCTTCTTCTGCTGCTTGGAGACAGCAGAAGGTACCATACAGAGACGGTAAATCAGCACCATCTGCAGCAGCAGCAGCAACAGCAGCAGCAGCAACAGCAGCAGCAGCAACAGCAGCAGGAGTATTTGGCCAAGGAGTACAGCAGCATTGGAGGGGAAAGGAGAGAGAAAAAAAGGAGACAGCAGAAAAGGAGGCACGTAACAAAAGGAGACAGTAAATAAAAAAAGGGAGACAGACAGGAAATAAAAAGGAGACAGTAAATAAAAAGGAGACAGTAAATAAATAAAAAGGAGACAGTAAATAAATAAAAAGGAGACAGTTACCTCCTCTTAGATCTAATGTTCCTTGCATATGCATAGCGCGTATTTTTTTATATTTATTAATAAGTGTCTCCTTTTCCTTATGTGTCTCCTTTTCCTTATGTGTCTCCTTCTCCTTATGTGTCTCCTTTTTAGGTGTCTCCTTAGGTAGGCGCTGCAGCAGCAAATCAATAACTCCTCTTCCTCCTATTAATATAAATAAGCAGCAAAAGGGGACACTTTGCTGCATGCAGGAGAAAAGAGACACTTTTTCTCCTTTTGTCTCCTCTATACGCAAACATATTAAGGAAAGAGGACTAAGACTACGTATAGTAGTAGATGGTAATAAGGAGACACTCTTGCTGCTGCTGCTGCTGCTGCTGCTGCTGTCATTGTCATTGTCATTGTCATTGTCATTGTCATTGTCATTGCTGCTGCTGCTGCTGCTGCTGCTGCAGGTGTCTCTTTTCTTCTTATGCTTCTTGCTGCATGTGTCTCCTTCTGCGGTGTATGCGCAGCTCGATGAATCTTCTGATGGTCTTTTACTCTTTGTTCTTTTACTAGATACAGATTTTGCTGCTGCTGCTGCTGCTGCTGTTGCTGCTCCTGCTCCTGCTGCTGCTGCTGCTGCTGCTGGCTCCTCCTCTGAATCTGTCTCCTCCTGCGTCTTCTTTGATGCCTCAATGATGGTGCAGCGGGTGTCTGCATGCAGCAGCAAAGAGCAGCAGATAGCAACATACAGCAGCGGACAGCAGCGAGGAGCAGCAGACAGCAGCAAGAGCAGCAGCGAGCAGCAGCAAAAACAACAGCAGCAGCAGCAGCAGCAGCAGTGCTTACCTTTTGCAGGCTCAAGAGTTGTCCCCTTTACAAAGTTCGCATACAGACCGCTATAACACACACAAAAGGAGACACTTAATACAAAGGAGACACTTATAAGAAGGAGACACTTAATACAAAGGAGACACTTAATAAAAAGGAGACACCTAACAAGGAGACACTTAATAAGAAGGAGACACCTAACAAGGAGACACTTAATAAAAAGGAGACACTTAATAAAAAAGAGACACTTAATAAAAAGGAGACACTTATAAGGAGGAGACACTTAATAAAAAGGAGACACTTAATAAAAAGGAGACACTTAATACAAAGGAGACACTTAATAAAAAGGAGACACTTAATAAAAAGGAGACACTTATAAGGAGGAGACACCTAACAAGGAGACACTTAATAAAAAGGAGACAATAAAAAGGAGACACTTATAAGAAGGAGACACTTAATAAAAAGGAGACACTTAATAAAAAGGAGACAATAAAAAGGAGACACTTAATAAAAAGGAGACACCTAATAAAAAGGAGACACTTATAAGAAGGAGACACCTAACAAGGAGACACTTAATAAAAAGGAGACAATAAAAAGGAGACACTTAATAAAAAGGAGACACTTATAAGGAGGAGACACTTAATAAAAAGGAAACAATAAAAAGGAGACACTTAATACAAAGGAGACAATAAAAAGGAGACACTTAATAAAAAGGAGACACTTAATAAAAAGGAGACACTTATAAGGAGGAGACACTTAAGAAAAAGGAGACACTTAATAAAAAGGAGACATAAGGAGGAGACAGTGAATAAAAAGGAGACAATAATAAGGAGACACTTAATAAAAAGGAGACACTTAATAAAAAGGAGACACTTATAAGGAGACAGTTATAAGGAGACAGTTATAAGGAGACAGTTATAAGGAGACAGTTATAAGGAGACAGTTATAAAAGGAGACAGTTATAAAAGGAGACAGCTAGGAGACACTGCAGCAGCTGCAGCAGCATGATGCATGCATTATCATGTTGCTGCTGCTGCAGTAAGGAGACACAATAGCAGCAAAAGGAGACACAACAGCAGCAAAAAGGAGACACAATAGCAGCAAAAGGAGACAATAGTGTACCTAGTAGGTGTCCCTTCCTCATTAAATATAATATGTGTATTCTTTGCTGAGGAGGCAGCAGCAGCAGCAGCAGCAGCACCTAATCCTCCTTGCCGTCCCCTTTTGCTGTTTTGCTTACTTATACCATCATGTAGCTGCTGCAGCAAATGAGACTCCATTGCTGCTGCTGTTGCTGCTGTTGCTGCTGCTGTTGCTGCTGCTGCTGTTGCTGTTGTGGCTGATGCTGGCGGTGGCGATACTGTTGTTGCTGCTCCTGCTGCTGTTGCTGCAGTTCCTGCTGCTGTTGCTGCTGCTCCTGCTGCTGTTGCTGCTGGAGGCCGCTGTATCTACACTATGATGGAGACAATATGTCCCGTAGAAGGAAGAAGATTCAGCAAAAGGGGACAGAAACCCGTCAAGCGGCAGCTGCAGCAGCAGCAGGAGCAGCAGCAGCAGCAGCAGCACTAGCACGACCAGCAGAAGGGGGCCTCAAGGTAGATATGTAGGAGACAGTAAATAATATTTTTATTAATTTATTTTATTTATTTAATTAAATAAAAAAAAAAAATAAATAAAATATTAATAAAGTGTCTCCTTTTTGCTGTCTCCTGTCTCCTTTTGCTGCAGCAGCAGTCTCCTTTTTTATGCCTATAAGGAGGCAGCAAGAAGGAATAAATAAAAGAATAAATAAAATAAATAAATAAAATAAAATAAATTAATTTATTTAATTAAATAAAATAAATAAATATTGGGGCTTTTTTTTTGCTGCATGCAGAAGGTAGGAGGGGCCCCTCTGCATGCGCATGCAGTGTGGGGCCCCACACCATAAAAGGAGACAATTGTCTCCTTTTTTTTTTATTAATATAATTAAATAATAATAAATATAATATAAATAATAAGGAGACACTTTATTAAGGAAGAAGGAGGAGGCAACTAGGAGGAAGTGTCTCCTTCTGTCTCCTTCTGTCTCCTTCTGTCCCCTTTTGTCCCCTTTTGTCTCCTCTTGTCTCTGTACATTTATATACCTAAATAAAATATATGCTGTGCTGATACTATGCTGTTTATGTATATACACACTATATATATATATATA